GTGGGATATAAATGTAATAAATAAATATTGAAAAATAATCATCTTCTTAAACTGGGGACTACCTGTACTACAAATTATAATAGTCCAAAGTAATTATTAAATAAGATATTCGAGTAATGGAAGCCAGTATTTAATTCCTACATAACAGAAGATAAGTGGATCAGGTATAAGGATGTTAATCATGTGTGGTAGTTGGTGCACATTCACAGCAGCTATACAGAACTTTGCTACATTAAGAGTGATAAAACTTCCCTTGTCTGATAAGAAGAAATTAACATGAAATTCCTCAGAATAATTTGGTGCATGTAGTGGGAGGGAAGATGAGTCTTCTTCAGATATCATTGTAAAAGTAGTGCAGCAGCACATGGAGAATAGATTCAACCATGCCATAACCACAAGAACAGGTTCGGCTAATCATGGGGGTTTTATTAAATCTCCCATATAAAAACACTGAGGGTAGACTATTATATCTGGCTCTGAAGAAGAAGAACCTTTGTTGGGCTGCAGAGATGAATGAGTTGATATAGTTGGTTGGTTTCCACCTGACATGGTTGAACTGAATTTGGATAGAATTTGGGCTGAGTCCTCTTTCATTCTGGAATTCTATGTCTAAAAGCCTTTCTTTAATAATTCTCCTAGCCTGAGGGAAATCAAGAAAATATAGGGAATCAAGGGAAAGGCCACATGATAGAAGTTTTTTGTGTATTGCTCAAATCCAAGAGGACTCAAATTTGTGAGAGAGAAGGGATGGAATCAGCCCAGCTGGAAAATATTAGCATTTCAACCAGTAATTAAAGATTAATAACCATGCTCTAACCTCAATCCTCATCTGACCAGTTTCTAATCTCAAAATTACATTAGATATGCATTTTGGGGCTTGGAACACTGCTCTTATAAACTTGGTTTGTACAGTTTCCATCTGTGTGTAATTTAGGTAGGGGCCTAGCTGGGAATCATACAGCAGCTGAGCCAGGGGTTTTGCTGTGAATAATTTGAGAGCTGCAGGGATATATCCTCCACCCTTTGTATGGGAGAATCTTAGGATGGCTAAAGAGCTTTTTTTGAGCCCATGGAACCACCACATTGATGAGTGCATTTCATGACCCTGAGTCTTGAAAGGCAACACTTAAATATTTGAAAACCCTCACTGCTCAATTTCCTGCCCTTAACAAAGCTTCCTGAATGTTTCAGCGAAGACCATTCTTTTGGAAGTTTAGGACAATGTGATTTTCACTGTAGTGGTTTTGAGTGTGCATCTAAGGCCAATTGGGATCCTTGAGATTATAGCTGCATCATCTGCATAAAGCAGAAGTGGAACATCCATATCTGCTATTCTAGACAGATGGAAATTTGGATTTGAGAGTTTTTTTGCTAATGAATGATGTATAAGTTGAACAGAGAGGGAACGCTTCTCTGTCTGACTCCGCTATGTACAGAGATTGGGTCTGAAATTAGACCTTGTGGATCAAATCTTACTCTGATCCTAGAATTTGATACAAATTCTGGTTTAGGAGCAATAGGCTCATGGTTCAATCCCCTTAGTTTTTCCCATAGGAGAGGTCTTCAGATTGAGTCAAATGCTGACTCGAAGTCAGGAAATGCCACATAGAGAGAAACTCAAGATCTTCTACTAAATTTCTCAATTAGATGTCATAGTACAAGGATGTGGTCTAGTGTTGAGTGGCCAGTTCTAAACCCTGCCTATTCATAGCCCAAAATAGCTTGGTTCACCAGCTATAGAAATGAGATCAGTAATATGTCTCACCCTAGAAATGAATGACAAAACCACATCTGTAGAATTGGGCACTGGTTTTGGAATATTAATTATGTCACAGCACAAATTAAAGCAACATGTCAGAGATGCTACACTAAAGCCAACAGAAATGTAATTAAAAACTTACACTGGAGAAAATATTCCCATTTGAGTGATATTATAACTGCAAAATACAGTAATAAGTAAGGTATGTTGGACTCATATATTGTGAAAAGAGGTGTACTAGAACTTTGGGTTCATGACTGGGTGAGAAGCTGTTGCTGGCTTGGAACACAGATGCAGAAAGAAGTTGTGTCTGATGTGGTTGGAGACTCAACTGAAATTCTTGTGTTACCACTGTAGTACCTATTCCCAAAATAGACAGTCAGCTAGTAGTTGATGTATAGGCACCCCAAGCGTTTCTGTTTGTAATGACAGACATTAGCCCACTTGCATATGTTATCTACCACAGCACCTAGATTCGTAAATACAATAGGGTCTGTATCTTGGCAGAGAGAGATGTAGTGCATTGGATTATTATCAGTGATTGAAAAAGCATGCCTGTGACCTTGTATTATTATTTGATTATCTTGGTCAGCCTGTATGTGCTATAGTTCTTGTAGATTCACTGGAGTTAGTTGCTCTAGAAGTTTCAGTAAAGCAAGCAGTAGAAAAGACACTACTGTACAGTATCCCCTAGCCAGCAGAACTCCTTTCTTAGAGAGATATGCTTAGCCATCTGTGACTTTTTTAAAAACCCAAATGTATTTTCTTTATTATTTTGTTGGCAGAAAAGTAGGATTTAAACCCCATCAATTCATCAATTAAACATTTCCTGCTGTTTGACATTGGACAATGCGTTTAATTTTAACTGTTCTATTATTAGTGTTTCAAAGTCATTGACTGAGGCACCAGAGGACAAATATTTGTCATCCTCTGTGTGACAGAAGAGTGCTATCTTGTTCCCCTTCTTCACTTCTACTTTTTCCACTAAATATATTCAGTTCCTTTAACCTTTCATTATTCAACTTTTTTCCACTCTGCCAATTAACTTAATTACCCTCTGATATCCTCTTTAATGTACTATGTGGAACTAGACAAAATATTCTAGATGAAGTCTCACTAATTAAGAATAAAATGGAAGTTACTTGCAGAGATGCAACTTCCTCCACAGATGAATACTTTGGGGTCACATCATAAACCTTTAGTTACTGTACTGAGTTCAATTTACTTCTCATGGAAAGCTAGTTCCTTTATGGCAGATTAATGTTCCTGACACATACAATGGAAAGGCACTGTGATTTAGTTGTTGGACTGCTGGATTGGGACTAAGGAAACCCTAGTTCAAGTCGCCACTCAAATACTGAGCTCACTTTTAGACTAGTACCTTTGTCTCACAACAGCCTGTATCAGAAGGCCATTCATGTGAAAATAAAATTGCTCTTATTATTGCTCTTTTTTTTTAATCCCGCTTTTATTATTTTTATAAATAACTCAAGGCAGCAAACATACCTAATACTCCTTCCTCCTTCTATTTTCCCCACAACAACAACCGTGTGAGGTGAGTTGGGCTGAGAGAGAGTGACTGGCCCAAAGTCACCCAGCCAGCTTTCATGCCTAGTGCAGAACTAGAACTCACAGCCTCCTGCTTTCTAGCCTAGTGCCTTAATCACTAGACCAAACTGAAGGATGAGCCCATATACATTGGCATGAAAAAGTGGGATATAAATGTAATAAATAAATATTGAAAAATAATCATCCTTTTTTTTTAATTCATAAGCACATTCATTACACATTTGTGTTTTTACAGTATAATACATGATACAAATCACAGAAACATCCTGAGTACTTGTTGATGGTGAATTATTGCTAAATTGTTCCTGTTTGCACTGAATGTCACTCTGATTTCTGCCCTACTCCATAAAAGGAGGACAGGCTGGGGCAGTTTAAAATCCGGAATGTTCAAAATGTTATTTTCAAGTCCTGGAACTTTCCAACATTTCCCAGTGTTCTGTGAGAACTGACTGAATCTGGAACGCAGTTAATGATTTCAGTATCTGGTACATTATAAAAC